TCAGGACGGACATTGAAAAAAGCTACTAATTTTTAGCAGTATATTTAAGTATTTATAATTGTCGATAACTCTAGCTAAATATTTTTTATTTTTGTATTTAACGCCATCTTTCGTATAAGACATAAAACTTTTTATTGATATTTCGTAACAAAAATGCAAATAAAAAGAGCGGAATGCTAAAAAACTGGTAATTAACGTACTGTTATATCCTTTAATTGCATCCTATAGTACAGACACAAACCCTTTCCTTGCTTACCTAGCATATTCATATTCCATATATACCGCTTTCCGCTACCCGACCAGTCAGTCTCATCCCAACACCCAAACAATCCAGACGGTTGTCGAATTTAATCTTGTATTCTTTTTTTAAAAACAATTTTAATCCGAGGCTCATAACAGTACCGTTAATAGAAGTAAACGTTTAGAATTTCACAATTGCATAGAATTCCTTATAAAAAGTGTAACACGATAATTGCGAATGTAAGCTATTTAGTAAAGGTATTTATCGTTTTACACTTTATAGTTTAACTAGTTATTAATTGGGACAGAACTTAGATATTATTTCTTTTATAAATACAAATTAAATATACATACTTGAATAAGTAAATTAAAGTGACGCACTAATAACTAGACGTTTTTTAAACGCACTTTGTTTCAAAGTTAACTAATGTTTAATTCACAACACTATTAATTTGCCAATATTAATAAATTACCTATAGATTTTTAATATTACGTAAAAATTGAGACTAATATATATAATTTTTTTGTATATCTATACTAATATAATAAATCGTAAACATACACTTCTTTGTTGCCTAAGATGTCAGCATTACAGAATGTTTGAATAACTCATTTTTTTAATAAAAAACCCTACACTTACCATGATGTCATGTCATTTTGACATTTGCAATTGATAATTTGACAAATGTAAACAATAAAATGCAATTTTTTATAGTTATATGCGGATGAAGTCGAATGGGAACAGCTAGTAATGCATAAACTGGAATGTTTTAATTAACGTTTACTATACTTTGTAAAGAGACGGGAAATATATTTCACTATAAATTAATATGGTCCGGTGTAAGATTATACCTGATTAATCAAGACAACCGCTATTGTTGCGCGCTGGATATAAAATTGATAATTAGATCTGAGTTCAAACTGCGCTGATTAATGTACAAAACGAACATTTAAGATGGACCACCCATGGGGAGTAGACGGCTTAATAAGACCCTCATTAACACCTTAATGGCTATTCTCAATTCGCCTGAGTTCGCTCGACTTTTATTTTTCTCGAAGCCCTCCCCGCGAGTCGGCCGCTGTACGGCACGCCGTCGCCCTTCTCTAATTGAATTTCTGCTCTCCTTTTTCTAAACTTATTCTCTTTGACTTAAGATTAGTGATGTATTTAAATTGGCGTTTTGTAACGTTTTTATAGTCGACCTGGAGCGTCTCTTGTGCCTCTAACCCCGCTCAACGATTTCTTATCGGAACTTTTAATTTAGTCGCGATAATGGAACTGGTATAGGACTTTCTTACGCCTTAATACTTTAAAGGAGACATCAATGAATTTGTTTCTTAATGATGCTTTTTATCTTGAGAGTATAAGGTTTTCTAAAATCGTTTTTGATTCAAACTCCTCTCGTCAGTCTACCGGTTTTACGTCTTTTAGTTTTATTTGTTATTTTTTGTTCATTAGATAAAGACTTAATTTATTACATATATTAACGACCAATTCTATAACGCACACGAAGTGTATTTTTTGTATAAATTAATATTATATTTTGAACATGTCTAAATCTTACTTCTTACTAATATTATAAATGCGAAAGTTTAGATGGATGGATGGATGGATAGATGGATGGATGGATGTTTGTTAGCGTGTGTAGCCTAAACGGCTGAACGGATCTCCATGAAATTTGCCACAGGTTTAGAGCATAGTCTGGAAGAACACATAGGCTAGTTTTTATCCCTGGAATAGTTACGGTTGCCGTGGGATTCATTAATTTGGTTTTTTAATGTTTACTCGATCATTCTGCAACGGTTCAACATATCTTATTGAAATTTGGCACAGATATAAAACAAAGTTTGGAGTAGACATGGGATAAGCTTCATCCCCGAGAAATGTCCGGTTCCCGAGGGATACGTAGCTTTTTGTAATTTTTATAGTTTGTTTGTTTTCTAATACCACGCGTACGAAGACGCGGGCAACAGCTCGTTAATTTATAAATTTGGAATCTAGCAGTATAAAATCATTGAACATAGTTTTAATTGGTCATTAAATAAATAGATTAGACGACAAAGAGACGAACAAACAATCAAAAGCACTTACTAAATCTCTCCCTTGAACATTTGTAGGAATTAATTTCGGATGTTGCCGTCGTAAGTCCATCAATTCGTTATTATAACGAAGAGTTCACAACAGACTTCCGTTCGCAATAAACAAGTGAGATATGTTTGGATGCAACGAGCATGTGACCGCTATACTGACGAAAGATTTTATACCTCCCTTACACGTATTCACCACAATACTAAATATATCTGATATTAACGCAGAATTCTCTTATCCAAATATAAACACTAATTGAAAACATGTTTCCACGATAAAAATGAATGTACAATTCATGTTTTTACATGCATTTTACATAAAATCTAAAATCAGTGATACAATTATAATGTACTGACTAATTGATGTCTATCTCAAAATAATGTTACCATTAAATGACTAAACTGTGTTGTTGATAAACATTTTATGTATTTTTTGATAATTTTATGATAATTTCAATAAGGTTCACTTTTAACTTTTGCTTTGAAGTTATTGTGAAAAATTCGCTTAATTTATTATTTCTTTTGCTACGCGACATTTCAATTTACTTATTAGTTAGCAATAGTTTCATAGTATGTCCAACCTGTATTTTTTAAATTCTTTTATAAACGTAAGTAGCGTTTATAAAAGATTTAATTAATTCTATTAAATTTGTATAGCGATTTTTTGTACTCCAAATTATCAATTAGTGGACTTTATACAAAAACAAAAGTGAAAATGTTTACTAATAAATTAATAAAAATCAAAGAAGAAAACCAACATCATATTTTTGTCAATCTTGTTTCTTATAATGTGACCAGTCAGCTGTCCTTTCATTGATTTACGAGGATTATTTTTTGTCATAAAAATATTTCGAGTAATGCCATCGAAGACCTCATTAACTGCCAAAGCGTAAGCTCGAAACGTTGTACACAAACATTCAGATATAAATCATCGTCCGTGTGTCAGTCGTTTAAATGTGTAAAGAAAATTATTAACATCAAAAGGTAATTTAAACGTCGACGGTGATTTCACAGCTACTGAATCATAACACAGCGTGTCGACAACGGCAAACGTTGCCACAAAAACGATACTTTTTTATTGATTATCAAAAGCGCACAATAGAAAGATGGCTCTGTGTGTATTGTCGCTTAGTTCGAACAGACGGCGCCACCGGAGTCGCTGCTTTACTAAAATGGCAGTTGAATATTTTTACCCGCAATGGAAGTGCTACACAGCAATCTAAAATAAACCGTATCGTAACAGTTCAGAGTTGTATTTCGACTATCAGACGGTGAAGACTTACGAATCCAGAGACAGCGAGTGTATTTGTGGTAGAGCTCCGTCATTGTTCGCTAAATTGTCGCTTGCACGGAACCGGCCAGGCTTGTCGTGAGTTAGGTATGAGCACACGGCACACAATGACAGTATACATACATTTAAACACCTGTTATTAAACATGCACAGGGTCACAGAGCGTGCTTACCTACTGCAGACCTCGTTAAATACAAAGACAGATAAAGATCTCGTCGACGCCGATTTGGATGCATCCATTATTATCCACTATGCACTTTTACACGAATGACAATAATCATAAGTGAACGAAATGGAGTTTTTCACTCAATAAACATTAGAAAACATTTTGAAACACTTTACGTCCGCTTAAAATCACTTTATCAACATCGAATAAACGTCAAATAAAAATATGTCGTAATCCAATAAGCATACGTGAGACATTTCTGTCAGAACATTTCTAAAGCCACAGATTAAGTCGACGAGCTTCCTCTTAACACTTGAAAGAAACGGATCATCTTCCGTTCGATAGGATTTTCTGGGCTTAAAGGATTTCACATGTGCCTCGCGTTACGCATTTAAACCTTACGATTGAAACCGAATTGCATTTTGAATGAATTGCCATTATTTCGTTCTTTTTCAGTCTCGCATTGTTATGGTCGGTAGATATTTTAAAGATAGACTTTGCCTCTGCGATCCCTTATAAGGATTAAGAAGGCCGCGCACCAAGACCGCTCATTTGTCCGCCTTTGTGCAAAACAAGGTGCTAAACCAACGCGTTTTGTGGGACCGATCTTTACGAAACCGCAACATATACACTCGACGTATGACGTTAAATAAATTTCGATAAATGCATCAGTAAAAAAGTAATGTAAAGACAAAACGCGTCAATTCGTATAACGACATCCTTCAGGACTAAACAGAGATAAAATGTAATTGCAGTAATTATAGCGGTCTCCTTTAGGAATCATTTTTCGAGTTTAAATATTAATGTTTCGTGACAGGGCGGCAACACTGGTGTGCGAGGCGTCGGAGGTTTTCTGGCCCATCGCACACGGACCGGTTCGCCGCTGGCTCACACGCTACGCCAGAAAAGCGAAACACGTTGTATCGCAGTTGAGAGCGATAAACCTTTGCTTCGTTTACGGACAAACGGCAAACGACCTATTGGTTCCAATTTGCAGTCTCGTGTTTGTTCTGCTTTAGGTGGAAACAGAAACTGATAGTCCGCGTCAAAGGCAAACTTCTCTTGCTTCGAGACACAAAACAATGCTCGGTCCTTGTGAGCAATAACTTTCCAGCAACTCATCAGTATTGTTCCCAGTTGCTTGTGTAAATTGGTACAGTTATGAAACTTTTAATATAAATTTAGTAAAATCTATAATCGATGTAAAATACATACCAGCGGAGAATAGAAGGCAGAGCTATCAACTCCGATGCTCGGATATGGGTTCTGGTCCGTCGATGGGTAGGGCGTTCCGTAGACGCCGACTGCTGCGCTGGAGAGTCGCGGGTAGGAGCTGAGGGCGAGGCGGGCGCCGTCGTACTGGCAGGAGCAGACGGTCTGGCCCGAGACCGGGTCGGTGATGATGGGTCTCGGCGTGTCGCAGCAGGAGGCGGCCGGCGTGCTGGCGTGGCTGCCGGCGCCAGGCGAGAGTGCGCCGCCCGCGACGCCCGACCCGCCCGGAGACAGCGGGGGCGCTGAGCTGGAGCCCCCGTCCGGCGACGTGGCCGCGCCGCCGTTGCCGCTGCCTCCGCCGACCAACAGCTGATAACAAGAATATTTTATTAAGCTTATGACTGTGTAGGAAATAAAGCTGACATTAATCCCCTTTATTAAACTCATTATAATTAAATTCCAAAGAATCGACAGTGGACCGCTACTGCGATAAAAATATCTCTATGACAGACATACGCATCCAGTAGGTATTAAATTAGTTTATCATACAGTAGCACTCTAGAATGAATGAATGAATATGTATTTATTGTCATAAAAATAAATTACGTATACGGACTAATTCTAAAGAAATCATATAAAATCGTGGCAAAAGATTAGATGGATCAACATTTGAACCACAGTTGTAAATTTAATAACAAACCTCCTGGACGGTTAACTTTTAATTGAGGACAAAAAGATATAAACCGGTGAAAGGTCCCGTTATTTTTGCAAAAACAAAACAAAAGTTCGTTGTATCACGCAATAGTAGCGTATCCCGCTTCTAGTTGCAGTGAACCTGAAACATTTGTGCAAGCGATGGCGTGCGAAATGTGATATGATATTTTTTACACTTTAGATTCGCATCAGAAATACTACTTAAAACGATAAATTATCTGATGTGAAATTGAAAAACTAAATTACATTAAGCCGGCTTGTTGAGGACTACTTTCACCTTTATAACGAAATGTTTTTCTACAGATAAGATGTATAATACATTTTCCGTGGCGTTGTTGCAACGAATGATAATAACATGGTTTATAATTAAGTAGAAATTTTCAAACTTAGCCATACACACTAAATCACACATTGTGTAGTTAGGAAGCAAAATTCGATACTAAAAAGTTTTTTGACAGACATGCTTATAACCTATAAATTATTAACATACCATAAATAACCGAAATATTAAAATTGAAATGCAAAGGCAAAGCAATTCTAAAAACAGCGAACATTGAATCGCATGCGATATTAACATTATCCAAAACTTTTGTCCTAACGACTCACCCCTATCGAAGTGGAAAGAGTGATAAAATTTGATTTATAGGTAAAATCATATCTGCATAAAACTGTTATCTAAACTGTGTATCGGTGATAGACGGGCAAGTTTAGCTGGGTGGCACGCACACCGCTGTCATTGTATGGCATCGTAACCATTCACGCAAGCTACAGTTGCATGTTACTATTGATCGGGCAAATCAAAGAAGAATCGTTAATCCTACACAAAAGCATGTCGCATTTACCGAAAAGCGTTAATCTGACACGCGTCAATTGTGACATTTTGAGGGCAATTGTAACTTTTCATCAATTTCAATCATTATTTACACTACAAATAAAGTAATATATTTATGAATGTAATAACTTCGGTTCAAATGGGTTATGACAACAGTATTAGGCATTTAAGGATTCTTAAAAATATTCACTTTTGAATTCCACTACTCCAAGGTATGTGTAAGCCTTAATTAGTTACATAGAAAATTGTGCTTCTTTTGATTCTTCTTCTAAGATTTAAAATATCATATCTTTAGAAATTGTTATCCGTCTCATTTATTAAAAATATTTCTTGTAATAATTTTTCCCATTAATCTTTTAGAGGGAATATCGAGGAACATAAACATTCAACGTTATAACGCAACGTGTCAATACTACAAAGAGAAACTGACAACAATTTCTATCGTAACCTAAATAGGATAAGTCATTTTCACATTTCCTGGCGTGTGTAAACACATCATCGTACGGGAATGAACATAGAATGGTTATTATACAGAGTCATAATCATTTGATCAAAGTGAATGCCCTTTTGACATCTTGTTTCGCTTGTCAAATTCAAGCTATAATAATAATTAGATAAATATCATCAACTTCCTCAATGTTGTGTTGATATCGCTTTGAATATTTGACTATCATTAAATAAATTAAATATGAAACGGTGAACGTGAGATCAAATGGAAACAATAAAGGAATCTTCGCACCTTCGAATGTCAAAGGGAATCTGTGCGAAAGATTTATGAAAACTTTCACCGTTACGTTTTATTCTAGAATATTAAAGCTATTATTATACTATCGCTATTGCAACATCTGACATCAACGGCGAAGTGACACAATACAATTGAATGAACGATGGTGCACGTTCACAGATCAATTTGACAGCGCGTCATTCAATTTATGCGTCGAAACGTATTCCCTTTTTGATACTATGATTGCTATTAAAATAAATACATTAACGTAAAAACATTTAAATTCGACGAGGAAAAAATAATGAATATTTTTGGGACTTCTCGAAAGCTTTTTGAGAAATCTTCGTTAAATGCATTAACTAAAATCTCCAGTCAGTTGCGCTTCTTCAATAATACTTTGTGACTCTTACTAATAATTTGTTTCTAGCTTAAACTGCTATACGGGTCTCTACGAAATTTGGCATAGATTTAGATGATGGTCTGGAACATATATACTACTTACATTTGTTTTTTGGAATTCCAGTCGCGGACGAAAGGTAGTAAATAAATTTTTAAAAAAGATACACACATTTTCGAAGAAGTTAACCTATGTAACTTTCTAGTTATGTCTATAATATATTTAAAGTAAATAGGAATCCTTGTTTATTGAATTTACTGTGACGCGGTTTGGGCGGTAAAAGATTAAAGGGACTTCGAGAGGTCCGTGGTACGTCAAAGATTTGATCAAATATTTGACCAAGGTTGACTTAGAAATAATAGCATAAGATACTGTGCACACACGACCCCACTTCAACCACTAATGCTCCGTTTGAGTGCACCAACTTGTTTTCTTTAAACAAAGCGAAACGTCTTCAAAGGGGCAAACGCTCAACCAACTCATTTCAGTTATGGCAAAACGTCTTTCGAGTCTCAAGATACTTCGTTTAATTGAAAACAGCCATTTACTTCTCTAAGTCAAACATGATACTAATATTATAAATGCGGAAGTTTGGATGGATGTTTTTTGGAGTCACTAGCCTAAACGGATTACGTTGAAATTTGGTAAAGATGTAGGTGATAGTCTGTTTTGTTCTGCTTTTTAATTCCAGTCGACGAAGTCGCGGGCAAAAGCTAGTATTTCAATATTTTTCTTACAGTAAACAATTAACCTTTTTACTCAATTGTGAAGACACAACCCCCTTAATGTTCGTCAAAATTCCTTATTAGGTAAACGATGTGTTGTGTTATTCTAGACTTCGCTAAGGTGTACATTTTTCTATAAATTTGATAAAAAAAAGTTACGAATGTGATCACCCACTATCTGATTAACAAAGTAATGGTTACATTATAAATGTCTAGACTCGTCGTCTAATTATGTCTCACATAATTCCTACACTACGCATCTTTTTACCGTAGTTAACTCAATAGCTCGTCCTTGTGCGTTGAACAGAAACGCACACACTTAACGCGCAAGTTTGCGTAAACATTAACGTCAGTGAGCGTAATATCTTAGCGTTTGCGTAGGTATACTGATAGTGCAATCCTATAATTCGACTACGTCATAATCCTATTAGATTACACCACTCGACATAGAGATAACGTGTTATTTGCATTTGATATTCGCATCGACATTTTGCACATTTCTATTTATATATGGAAATACTAAAATAGACAATTCGTGTAGAATCATATCATGAATGGTGCCTCAAGGCAGGCAAGTAGCCGCGTATCCATTCAGATTTCGTGATTGAGATTAAATTGTCATTCGAAGTGAATGCGGTTTGTAACTGTGCCCGCAACGGTTCACACCTTTATACTACAAATATTGTATCTGCATACTTTAAAATTCATTTATAATTAATGTTTTTTATCTATCGAGAGAAGAATCTGATGAATGAAAGGTATACTCGTATTTACACACATCTCTGTTCGATCAAAGGACGCCATGATGAAATAACATTGTTGTGACCACACGTTGACTAATGAGACAATTATAACATCTCTAGTTAAGATGTAATGAGTACTATGTTTTTGTATATTAATTAATGACAACATATTTATTTGTTCCTCGTATTATATATACTAGCTGTTCCCGTGCGGCTTCATCCGCAGGAAATTATGAAAAAAATATTTTATTGTTTACATTTGTCAAATTATCAATTACAAATGTCCAAATGACATGACATGATGACAACCTTGCTTCCTTGATGTTGGCAGCAACTTATGGTCTCATTCCCACATTGGGGTTTTTATCCAAAACAGTTACCACCTAAGTTTAATGGCGTGAAAATATATAGCTTAAAGCGAGACGCAAGTGTAGGGCTTTTTATTAAAAAGAATTTTTCAAAAATATACTGTAATTGCTGACATCTTAGGCAACAAAGAAGTTGTGTTTAGGCTTTATTATAATAGTATAGATATTATTATGTTATGGGTATGTAAGTAAATATAATTCTTCGTTGTTTCGCCGTCGAATTCTCGACATATAGCGTATGAAGGGCCCTCACAAATGTTATAAAATCGAGTTGAAATCGGAGTCACCTGCCCAGCGATGCGTATGGACGTTTGCACCTCTATGTATACAGTTTCAAAGAGCGTGCCGCCATTGGTTCGCGGATGCCAAACAACACTATCTGTGTTCGCGTGTGCTTCTGTAATTAGTACCACGGAGCGATAACGTGTCGCCGCATACTCTCTGTCATTACGACTCGCTACAACCATGTTCAAGTATTGGAACAAACATTTCGATGTTATTCTCATATTTTCTGATAATATAAAATGAAAATCGAACCTATCGATGCATGCTTACACAGCGCTTTTACACTCATGTAATAAACATTATGAAGTGCTCTTTTAGTGAATGATCCAATAACTCATGACCGAATGAACGAATACATGTACTTGAATCTCTGCAGATTAACATCCTTACAATGTCATAATCATTCACTACAAATATGGGCAAAACAAACACGAAATCACCATGACTTGATATTGATTATAAATTTGTACAAATGAAAAACAACGTTATTTGAAACAAATACTAAAGCAAAAGAATTAAAAGAACATGTTTATCGTTAGTTAAAACAGAAACGTTCATATCTCCGCTATATTTCGCGGACG